CCCCCGGCCTTCGACTGCTGCCCGATCCACTGTGCACCAGCACCTTACGGATTCTCCTGCAGGTGGTGGACCCACGGGAGGAGGTCCCCACGTCCCTTGTTTGGGCTGAGCCCGGCCGGGCCCTGTGAGAGGAGGCTCGGCCACCAGGCACTCGCATTTGAGCCCCGACCCCAGGCCTGGCTCCAGGGTGGGGCCCTGGCTGCGCCATGCCGGGTGGCGTCACGGTCCTTGATTTAAATCTATTCATAAAGGGCTTTTTTTCCCCTTTCCATCCAATTAACGTTTAATCATGGGTATCTCTAGATTAGCTTTGCACCCCTCATAAATCCAAATAGTCTGTAATTATTTCAGAATGATAACACTAGAGAGCCTCTTCCTAAAATGAGGACAGTTCATGAACACACACAACTCCTGCTGCTGCTGTTGTGTCAAAAGTGGATAGCACAGCAAACTGCAACAGTATTAATTCATTTGAATTTCTCCTTAGATTGGTAAACATCACTATATAATGAAAAGAGATGTGTAACACTATAAATAAGGCAGGTAATTGAGAAATCCCATATTTTAACTGGCATAATGTAGAAATTTCAACTTCTCCAGCCTTACAACAATTCTCTCCAATGTTACAGAAACAAGGCATTAACAGACATGTAAGAAAGAAAGAAAGTCACTTTTGGCTTTTCCCATTTAGGGGTCGCCACAGCAAATCATCATCATTCCCCAACACGACCACATACAGTCCCAAAATAGTGAAATTAATTTTAACACCGACAAGGTTCTAGCACCGACAATACATCATGGATTGTTAATTTTCTTGCCAACCAGCAACACATCACAAGCCGCAGACACACTGGCCTCAAGCAGTCAAAACAAACAGGTACAGTGCTCTTGATCATTCACCACCACAGGGTGCTTCACTGGTCGGCTGCTTGTTGGTTAGACCCGGTCAGGTAAAACAGCAAGTCCCTGTACATAAACATTCCCAGACATGCAGTAACCTCAGGCCCTGTATTTCTCTCCACATGCTCTAGTCACAGTACAGCAGCAGGAGGCAAATTACTGTATATCCACAAAACTAGGCACAGTCAAAAAATTCCGCTTTTACAATGGCACCATGGATGTTTTTTTTTTAATTTTTTTATAAGCTTTACTGAAAATACACACAACAAGGCAATATATCATTTTGCCAATATGCTGGGGGCACCAGTAGCTGTCAACCAAGCTCATATGAACATGCAATGGCCTGGAGATAATGACCATTCAAGGAAATCCTCTAACTATCCCCTAATACTTTTTTTTTTTTTTTTTTTTACAAAATAAAGTCTCATGAGCAAGAGTTTGTGAGACATGTATAAACCAAATTGCTTCTGCATAGAAATAAATCATACATTCACTTCATTTTTTGAGCTTTAGGTCTAAGATTATATTTCACCATTATAACATTGTAGATAAGTCAAAAAACAAGGAAAAGTGCCATGGGCTCTTTAAGCTTTAAAGACACTATCAGGGTGCTCCCGTGATGATCTGTTCAAATTAGACATGGTTTTGACTCGATACATCGTCAAATGCCACAATCACAGCCAGACCCTGGTGAAGCCATTGTCCTGGACCCAGCTCTGGACGCAGACTGACAGCTGATTCATCATAAGAGAGAGGCAGATCCTACTCTGTATACGAGAAGCACCTTCTGAGGTTGCAGCCCTGAACGGTGTTGTGGAACTTCGGACCTCCACAGACCTCTGCTCTGGCCCAAACCAAGACTAATTCCCCAGTCGGCCACAAGAACCCTGCTAAAAGCTAAGTGCACCCTGGCAAATCGTAGTTACAACTTAATTAAAATCTCTAACTTATCGAAACTGACAGTTCCTGACTAAAGCCCAGAATTTAGATCTAAAATCTAACGTAATTTTAGACACCATCACAAACAACCCACAATAGACCAGTAATTCCTGGTCTAACCACTGATTCCATCTTTGTTGCAAATGCACCGTTTATTTGCATTTTTCATCTTGATCATTTTCCCTGTTGTACATATTGTAAATACATTTATTTAGCTTAGAACTGGTTATTTGTCATGTCAATGAACTGCAGAATTCCTTGCCTTCAGATGAGACTGAATCATTAAATTCGTCAGAGTGTAGTCCACTATAAAATACTTGGTGCCTTAATCTAATGAGGTGTTAAAAGATAGAAATATTAAATTAATATTAATAAAGTGTAGTCATTTCTGCTACAAGTGTCAATATGATGCTAAAAAATGTGAGGTTTGTCATGACAGTAAGGAACAACAAACGATGAGGTACAGAAAAAATAGAAAATGTCATAATTGCGACAATCAGTCATAACTGGTGAAATGTTCTTTAAAGGAAAATTCCAGATTTGTATTACTTGTGTGTTGTTTTTATTTTTGTTGAGCGTTCTTTCAAATGCCCAGATTGAGGACAGGGAAACCTACCACAATGTCTTCAGGGAAAAGATTGTCACTGAAGGAACCATCATCAAAGTTGACTTCATAGAAAGTCTCTTTGGACAGCTGCACCACATCACATTGGTAGTAGCGGCCATTCTTGTGCTTGCATATCACCTTCTGTCCCACAGTCAGCTCATGCATTGCTGCTTTATTGCGCTGTCAGAGGAGATACAGGAAATCACAGTTTTATGACCTACAAATGTTCACTGGACACTGCTTCAATAATCCCTGCACTTCATTGAAATCCTTCCACTGCACTGTACAGGCAGAAAATAACATGTAAAAAGTACACATCCAGGTCACAGCAAGTCTTTGAAGAAGAAGCTAGCAGATCCTCAGCGGCTCTTTACCTCAATCTGAGTGGGGCCTTTGTGTCGACAGCAAGTAACATGGACCACAAAGGGCCATTCATCCGGCTGCATGAGTACTCCAGCAGCCTGTGCACAGGTAGGGTGGTAGGCAGTGGGACAGCGGCCATGAGAGCACTGCACACAGCAGCCGGAAGCCTTCTTCATCCTCTTCTTACAGTAGTAACATTTCTGTCAGTGTAAAACACAGCAGATTGCATGACTCAACAAAGTCTTTACACTTCATAACTTCACAACTTTGTTGGATATTCCTTCACTACTGAACTGGTGCTCGCAGCATTTCCCCACACAGAGACTACTTGGACGGGCCGCCCAGGTACATTTGGCCACACATTTTTATTATTAGCCTATAATATATTTTTCAGTCTGAGAGAATGATGCCATCCGTGATCAAATGACTAAAAACAATGTTGCCTTGCTCTTGATGAATTAATTGAATTAATTCATTTTGAATATTTCCAGGCTTCAGCCAGTGCTGTTGAAGCAGAGGGTAAAGAAGAGAGAGATGGAGGCGAAGAGGAGAACAGCAGCCAACATGCTGCTGTGAGATAGTCAGCTGGTGTAGCAGGCACTATAGTGTTACAATATTTACTGCCACAAGTAGAATCTAATTCTGTGAGAAACACTATGCTCTGCCCTTCTGGAGCTTGCAATATGGAGCCTACCACTAATTTCCTTATGTGGACAATAAAGTAGATCTTATCTTCCTCTCCAGTCTCACTTCATTTTTGTTCCATGGACTGAGCGCTACTAAATGGACCACAGTGCAGATATACTGTAAATAAGTAGCCAGGGCCTTAATTTGCCTTACATCCATAGAGAACCAGGCCTATATTACAATTACGCTTTTACTTCTACTGATTTCATAATGGTCCTGTTTTTATTTGCTGTTGATGCAAATTCAACACTTTTGTCCATTTCCACATCACTAATTCCATCAATACAACAACAATGTCAGATCATAATGAGTGCTCTTAAAAACTAGAGATAGCTGATGGTGAGGATGAGTTTCAAAGACAATGCAGGTAGTCTGTAATGTACTATGGTAGCTAAAATGAAGCTAACCAAATTCCGATCCTTTCATTACTGCACCCTGCTGTGGTCTGTGCCACTCAGTCTCCTAGCACTGCAGTGTTTCTGTCCATTATGAATGCCTACAGCGCGATCAATTTGTTCATACACATGAAATAGTGTGTGAATGTGAGAAATTATTGGATGCGCACGTGCAAATGAGTCTACGTTCTGACACCTGGATTGGAAAAATCCAATCTCTGATGCTAACAAATCTCTTATGTCTCCTCACTTTCTTATTAGCAAATGTGTATAAAACATTCAGGTGAGCTTTGGATGACAGTTGAATTCTTCTTAAAGAGAAACAGCATAGCAATAAAGACTGGAATAAAAGAGTGAAGATGAATAGTACTTCTGTTAAAGAGACAGTCATGACTGTTATTATGTAATTAGTGTTTGGAAATCTGTTACCCTAATCTACCATGTATAGGCAATGGCTAATTGGCTGACACACTGTCATTATTTGAATACCAGCTTTCAAGTGAGAATTTAATGGATGCTTATCCATAAAAAAGTGTGTCTGTTCTTTGATCTCACCAATTTAAATCTCTGCAAAGGGATTCCACTTAAATCCACAGGACTTCTATCAGTGATGTTGACAAAGCGTGCCTCGAGCACAGCTACTGCACACAGCACATGAACCCACCTGCGAATCACACATACACACAGAGCAGTTCACAACTGACATACATCAAGCAGTACGCTGTCTATTCTGTTCATTTTCTAAATCACCATGTAAGTAATACACATCGTCACACTCAGAATCTCCTATACAGTACATATGATTTTACACTCACTATGTAGTGTTTGTGCTGCTGATCTTTATGTTATGTCGTATTGTGATATAACTGATTCTGAGTACTGTGTATATGGTTTATGGAATTACTTCATCCTCATTCTTTACTGTTATTCTCCAGGAACCTCATTCATCTTTGAAAATATTTAACTATGATCACACTGATACAGTGCCTTGCGAAAGTATTCAGCCCCCTTGAACTTTGCGACCTTTTGCCACATTTCAGGCTTCAAACATAAAGATATAAAACTGTAATTTTTTGTGAAGAATCAACAACAAGTGGGACACAATCATGAAGTGGAACAAAATTTATTGGATATTTCAAACTTTTTTAACAAATAAAAAAACTGAAAAATTGGGCGTGCAAAATTATTCAAATCCACATAAGGGATGACGGCAACATTCATAGATCCTGGAATGCACAATGAGGGGCAATGTTCATTCCTATTACAGAGGCCCACTGAAATTTTTTTGAGGAAAAGCTGTGTTAGACTGCATATTGTTTATAGTAAAGTATTTTTATATACAAATATAAAAATGAAAATGTTTCTGGAGTGGGACTTTAATTAATTATAGAAGTTGTGCAGAAGCTGCCCATAGCTCTACACAGTGATCCATGTGTGTACTGTATGTGTTTCTATGCTGCTCCAAATGAGTCTGTTCTGGTTCAACTTGTCTTATTAAATGAGCTTAAAAATAAAGTGACACCTTAGTTATAAAACACTGAGCAGGCTGTAACACACAAGAGTGTGTATTTTTGTGTGAATGCATGATTGATGGAGGCGGAACCCCAGGTT